GAAAAGAGAAATATAACATACAAAGGCAAGCAAATCAGATTAAGCTCCTATTTCTCAACAGAAACCATGCAGGCAAGAAGGCAATGGGGAGAGATTTATAAAACCCTGAAAGAAAAAAACTGACACCCTGTAGGAGACGGCATATGCAAGTTCTGAGAAGCTGAGGCCCTGTGACACGTGGACGAAAATGCAATCATTGGGCCCTCCTCGGACTTGCGGGCCATGGACCCTGAGGGCCAAGGAAGTGACCTCCTGAAGTCCCGGGTTCATAGGTCTTTGAGAAATCACTGGTCGGCTACCTTTGTACAATTCTCTCTGGTTCTTATATTGTTAATTCTGTACTTGTGCTTCATGTTTCTAACTCTAATGATTGTAGCTTCTGGGAAAATGATGTACTACACTTTGCCTCTCTTAATGGCTCCACTGTAAATGTCACTGCCCTGAAGGTATTGGCAGTGCTTGAGGTCTGGGGAACAGGTTTTTCTGGGGAGCTGGCAGTGGCCACCTGGGAGGAATGTCAGAACTTTTACTTATCTGATTATTCAGTTATGTTTGATATTAACTTGAAGCATGCACTTTTGATGTCCATGAATAATAATGAGACCGAACCCCCCTCTGGAGTTGAGCCAGTAAAAGCTTCCTCAAATGACTTAGGAAGAGCAGGAACGGGAAGTTAATATGTAATCTATAATTGCTTGTTTGAACTTTTCTTATGGAAATTGTGTGCTTGACCTTTTCTTATGGAAATTAGTCTTTTCGATCATTATGAAAATCATGATGTACTCAGAAAACATTTTAAGATTAAATCTGTGAATCATCAAGTCCTGTATCACATGAATAACCTCGTGTCTTATCACGTATCACATGAATAACCTCGTGTCTTAACACGAATGAATAATCACATTAAACTTGTACCTTCTGCCTTGATTTCCCTGATCTGAAAATGAATAAAAAGACTGAGGCAAAGCTAGTCCTGTATGCTAGCTTGCCTGACAGCTTGCATCAAACTTGTGTGTCTGTGCCTTTGTTTTTATATTGTCTCTCTTTCGCCTCCAGATCTTCCACCCTCGTGAAACTCACGCTTCGTCGAGGCACCCCTTTGTCGATGCAGGACCCCGACATAGGACACCCAACACCACCCAATAATCCTCTACCCAGCAAACCTGTCAATCAAATACAATGGTATAATCAAAACATTCCAGAATAAACTGAAGCTAAGGGATTTTGCCAAAGCCAACCCTGCTCTGAAAAACATCCTAAAGGAAGTTCTGTGGACTGAGAACCAACAAGAACAGACAACAACTACAGAATGACGTACATGGCAGCATCACCCTGAACTCAGTCAACAAATGGAGGAGTCAAGAACAGAGTAAACTTATAAGAACAGAGGATTTGGGAGGTCAGTCTATGATCAAAACAATTACAATGTGTAGAAAGGTAAACACCGAGGAACAGAGATCCTGGTGGTGAGAAGGTCAGGTAGATAACTGGATAAAATAGACTGTCTTAAATGGAGGGAAGAACTAATGGAATATAAGGTAACCACAATGGGGTTGAGGTGGGGGGTTTACTTTGAGTGTTGGGGAGGGCAATACAAGAAGGGGGGAGGAAGCAGAAGAACAAGATAGATAGGAGAACACTGAGACAAGTTTTCATGGCCTAGTGGGACAGAGGTAAATAGTGATGCATACTCAACCTTGGAACAACAGGGCTCTGGGATACAGGGATCTAAGATATAGCTCCCATCAAGTCTTTTTGTTTGGAGAGTGGACCTCTATTATGAAGAACACAATGGTATATTTTAACACAAGTTCATCCCTCCATCTGCCATACTTACAGGGTGGTTTTCTTTAGTTTTTCACTGTAAGAACTTTGCAGGAGTCCTAGTGGTAAAACCTATTAAAGCATGTTCTTCCAGGTTACTGTCACAAAGAGCTTCTCACCCTCATATTAGTTTACAATAAATGTTTAGCAAGTTGTCAAAAGTGTTATGTAAGTGTACCTACCAGTTTAGGTTTCCCTCAAACTCTGCTTCCTATGGTGATTGTTGCTGTGATTCTCTGTATTCCTCTCTACAGTTTCAGTTTGTTTGTTTGCCCTATGAACCCAATTTTCTGAGGAGTCCAAAAAAGTCAATGATTTTCAGTTTGTTCAACCTGTTTTTCAGTTGTTGTAAGGATGGGAGTGATGATTTTTTAACTTCTTTACATATCAGAACTGAAAGTGAAAGAATTGTAATTTGATTTTGAAATAATAATTTAAAAATCTCTAGCAATATTATGTTGCTGTTGTTTTTAAGTGCTGTTAAGTAGGTTCTGACTCATAGTGACTCTGCACAGCAACGTTATAACTGCATAAAAAAAATCAAACATTCATTTACAAAATGTTCACAAGATGTTCACAACATAGTGAAAAGTAGTTGCATCACTATATAATTAATTCTATGTTAATCACATGAATAAAGAATCTTGGAACATTAAGGCTAGTGCTGTCCTTGGAGGCTGGAAAAGTTTTCATAGAAGTGAAGATATTTATATTCTCTTGTAGCTTGGAAAATCTCTTAGAGCATCTTTAGTCCATGGATTTTTTTAGCCTTATTACCAAAATCTCATCAGGTTAATCACAAGCATTTATTTTGACTGGAATATTGCCTAAGAAACAGCACATATGGAATATGATTCAATTTTAAGTTTATTTGTCCATGTATCTATCAAACTTACTAATTCCCATTTCCAGGAGTCAATTTTCAGTTACTCAGTATTGCCCTTTTAATAGTTAGGTGTTTGTATAATTTGAATATTTTCTTATATTTGTAAACATTACAATCTTTATCTTAAAAAATCAAATTGCTTCCTCCTAGAATTCCATACGTAAGCACTGATTGTCAACAACAAGGTGAGTGGTTCTAGCCCATCGGTGCTTTGAGAGAGAAAGAGGAGGCTTTATGTTTCCCCAAAGATGTACAGTCTCAGAAACCCTATACAGGGTCGCTATGAGTCAGAACTGACTTGACTACCCTTAACAACAAGAATTACTTTTAAGTGATCCAAATATGCTAATTGTTGTTAAGTGCCTTTGAGTCTGTTCTGACTCATAGGGTTTCTGAGGAGCAGCTGGTGGGTTAGAACTGCTGACCTTGTGGTTTGAGGTCCAGTATTGATTCTACAGTGCCACACCAGGAGACCTAAATATGCAAATTGTTTTGTTAAAGTTCTGTATGGTTCTATTTGAATTCAGGAATTAAAGGGTTTTTCTTATAAGTTCTTCTAGTTCAGAGACTTTCTTAACCAAATGAATTCATGTAATTTTGTTTTAATCTGCTTAATATGGGAGTGATACTGAAAGTATTAGTAGACATAAATTTTCTGCACTCTAGGCACAGAAAGGCTATCCTTACTGCTACTTGGATGTTTCAAAAGATGTGATTTGATTTTTAAATTGATTCAATTTTACCTACAAATAGCTGATATGATCATAGATAAAGTAAACTCATGTTGGTAAATATTTATAATTTAAATATTAATAAAAATTTAATAATGGAATGGTTTAATAATTTTCCATTTTAAGTGTATGCTAAATTATGTCTAAAATATTAGGTACATTTTTGTGATGTTCATTTGTTGTTACTGGGTGCTGTCAAGTCAATTCTGACTCATAGTGATCATGTGTAGGGTTTCTGAGAGCAGCTGGTAGGTTTGAACTGTTAACCTTTCAGTTACCAGTTCAGTGCGTATCTTTATAGTGCCACACCATGGAGTATATAATTGTCTTATAATACAGAGAGACCCCAAAAAATAAAGGAAAAACTCAAGAGTACAATTTTAATAGGTACCTAAATTAAAGAAAAGTTAAATAATGAGGCAAATGTAAAAATGTTCTGATTCCATTTATTTCATTACGTTTTTCCTTGGCTATTTTATGATCTTCAAAGTTAGGTTACATGTACCAGTCTTGTGTCCTTTGGGATCTTATGACCCACTGAGGTAGTAGAAGGAACAGTTATGGTAACCAAGAGAAAATTACTCATCTATGTACATTCCCCTATGGGTGAAGTAGTTGTGGCAGCAAGAAATATCTGTGACCTATGTTATCTTCCTTCAGGAATAACAAAGACTCCCAGAAGTACAGTTCCATATGCAAATCCCATGTGTCCATTACTATTAATGTTTCTGCATAAAAATCCTTCCTTTCTAGGCATCTCACACTAGAAATTCTGTCTAGGTAGTGGATTTTTGCCCTAAGCAGTAAAATAACATAAACTCTCCAATTTTTTGAGTTTATGACACCGTTAGAAGTTTGAGAATCATAAACCCAATTGACTACTTTGAGAATCATGTAATCCAATTGACTATATCTCTCTAGAAATATTTTCAGTCCTCTATTAATGTTTCTCAAAAACAGTTAAGCCCTCAGAAACTCTATACAGTGTCATTATGAGTTGGAACCAAGTGAACGGCACACAACAACAACAACAACAACAGCAACAGTAATGTCTATGACCTCCATCTCCAACTTCAGTGATTCCAACTTTGTTCTCACTGGTTTTCCTGGCCTAGAAGTTGACTACCTCTGGATCTTCATCCCTTTCTTCTCCATCTATGCCATGGTTTTCCTGGGAAACTGTATGGTGCTTCATGTGATCCGGACTGAACCAAGCCTACATGAGCCCATGTTCTACTTCTTGGCCATGCTAGCTCTCACTGACCTGTGCATGGGATTGTCCACAGTGAACACAGTGCTGGGAACACTGTCAGGTCTCATTCCAGAGGTCAGCTTGGATTTCTGCATTGCACAGTGCTACTTTATTCATGGTCTATCCTGCATGGAGTCTTCCGTCCTTCTTGCTATGGCCTTTGATCGCTACATTGCCATTTGCAACCCATTGCGCTACTCCTCCATCCTAACTAATGACAAAATCATGAAAATTGGAATAGTTATTTTAGGTAGAAGTTCTTTACTCACACCTCCAGTCATCATTCGACTAAAGTTCTTAAATTATTGCCATCCCCATGTTCTTTCTCACTCTTTCTGCTTACACCAAGACTTACTTAGAATTGCCTGTTCAGATATCCGTTTCAATAGTATCTATGCTCTGTTTCTGGTCATCAGCAACCTGTTGTTAGATGCAGTTCTCATCCTTATCTCCTACATCATGATTTTGCATATGGTTTTGGCCATTGCATCCAGAGAAGAGAGGATCAAGTCCTTGCAGACTTGTGTATCTCACATCTGTGCAGTTTTGGTTTTCTACATCCCAATTATTGGTCTGACCATGGTGCATCGTTTTGGAAAACATCTCTCACCATTGGTTCATGTTCTTATGGGAAACATCTATATACTTTTCCCACCCTTCATGAATCCTATTATTTACAGTATCAAGACTCAACAGATACGACGAAGAATTCAGAGATTGTTTTACTTGAAAGGTACTTAAATTCCCTGAGATTAGATGTGACTACATTTAAAAGTCAAAAGTGTAGTTCTAAAGAATCAAAATCAGTATGCCATTAAAAATAGATTAAATAACATATCTGTATTATATTTTATATGTTATAGGTCTATTCTTTTCCATTTTTCACAATTTCATAAATCATTTAAATTGATGCAAGTAACAAACCATAAAATGCATATACATTGGGCTGAGGATACTTGAAGAAAATTAGCTAGTAATTTCCACATGGTTGTTCTGTTATTTATAAAAGAAAGATAAGTAAGCAGCATTGAAGTTTGGGGGCATTTGGATCATTAATATAGTAAAGTAATGATAACAACAAATAAACTAGGTTCTTCACCCCGTCTCACCCAATGAATTAGAGGTGTAGACAATCAGTAATCGCTAAAGTACAAAGAGGAAACTATTGAGATTAATTAATTAATCGTTACTGCTAGGCATTGTCAAGTTGGTTCTGACTCACAGCGATGCTATGCACAACAGAAGGAAACACTGCCTGGTCCTCTGCCAACCTCACAACCTTTGCTACTTTTGAGCCCATTGTTGCTGCCACTGTGTCAGTCCATTTCTTTGGGGGCCATCCTCTATTTCGCTGACCCTCCACTTTACCAAGGATCATGTCCTTCTCCAGGGACTGGTCCCTACTGATGGCATGTCCAAAGTATGAGAGATGAAGTCTCATCTTCCTGGCTTCTAAGGAGCAATGTGGTTTTACTTTTTCCTACACATATTTGTTTGTTCTCTTGGCAGTCCATAGTACTTTTAATATTTTTCTCCAACACCATAATTCAAAAGCATCAATTCATCTATGATCTTCCTTATTCATTGTCCATCTTTTACATGTGTATAAGTGATTGGAAATACCATGGCTTTGGTCAGGCACACGTTAGATCTCAAACTGTTATCTTTGCTCTTGAGCACTCTAAGAGGTCTTTTATAGCAGATTTGCCTAATGCCATATGTCATTTAATTTCTTGACTGCTGCTTCCATGTGTATTGACTGTAGATCCAAGAAAAATGGGTCTTTGACAGCTTCAATCTTTTTTCCATTTGTCATGATGTAATTTATTGGTCCAGTTGTGAGGATTTTTGTTATTTTAACAATGAGGTGCAATCCATACTGAAGACTGTAGTTTTTATCTTCACCAGTAAATATTTTTACGTTCTCTTCACTTCTATCAAACAAGGTTGTATCATTTGCATATACAGGCTGTTAATGAATCTTCCTCCAATCCTGATGCCACATTCCTCTTCATATAATTCAGTTTTTCAGATGATTTGTTTAGCATACAGACTGAATAGTACGGTGAAAGGATACAACCCTGGCATAAACCTTTCCTGATTTTAAGCCATTCAATAGTCCTGTATGCTGTTCTAACAATCACCTCTTAGTCTCATGAGCACAATTAAGTGTTCTGGTAAACCCATTATTCACAATGTTATTCATAATTTGTCATGATCTACATAGTTGTAACTTTTGCATAGTCAGTAAAGCACAAGTAAACATCTTTCTGGTATTCTCTGCTTTTAGCCCAAAAATCCATCTGTTATGTAACATAATATATTTGAATATGTTTTCTAGCAACAGGGAGTTGATGTTCTCAGCTAAACTATTTATTTCCTCCATATTGTTGTTGTTGTTAAGTGCTGTCAAATTGGTTCTGATTCATAGTGACCCTGTATAGAGTTTCTGAGGAGCAACTGGTCAGTTTGAACCACCAACCTTGCCTTTCAAACCAACCTTGCAGTCCAGTTCTTATCCTATAGTGCCATTTCAGGACTCTTATCCACTCTTGCACCCAGTTAGTTCCATTATAATTCGCATTAAAAGGAAGTCAAAATGTCCTTCAGGAATTTGGTGAGTGAACTGGATGGGCATCTGGTGTAAGTGCTATGATACTTGGCTGACTCTGTTTAGAGATATCTCATTTTCCACATTATGCTGTAGGAAACTGTTCTTTCTGGACCCTTTGCTGACTTTTGGCTGATTATTTTCTCTATGATTCATTTAACAACTCATCCATAACCTTGGTTCTTACTTTACAAGCCCTAAGACCTGACCCACTTCCTCTGACTCGCTTATTCTTACACGTTTACTATGGCCCTTGATTCCAGAGTAATTTGTCCCTAATGGCTGTTCCCTTGTAAACTTTAGTAGCCACCTTTCCCCATGATTTCCGCCCCCCCCCCCACAATGCTGAAAAGGACATCTAGATCCCTTTACTGTCTTGTGAGAGAAAAAAAAAAAAGATACTCTTTCAAGCTATTGTATTAAAAAATGTGTTGTTGTTAAGTGTTATTGAGTCAGTTCTCACTCATAGTGACCCTGTATAGGATTTCTGAGGAGTGGCTAGTGAGCTTGAACTGCCGACCTTGTAGTTCAAACTGACCTTGCAGTCCAGTGCATTAACCTGTAGCACCACACCAGGACTACAAAAAAAAAAAAAAGTGGCGTCTTTAGTTTTACTCTGATGCGGGCCCCCCCACCCCCCATTGGTATGAGAGACCTTGCCAGGCAATCTCCCTCTGATAGCCAAGCAGAGCACTCATCTCCTCCTGCTAGTATCTTCCCCTTCAAAGTGCATTAGGCTTTTATTTTTTTGTATTCAGACTATGAATAAGGCCAAAACTGTGCAGTGGAATTTAAATTTTTGGAGATTATTCTTTTCTTAGTCTTCTTTCCCACTTGTGCCTTTCTTTCCTATTTCATGCTGGGAGAATTGATGCCTTTTGTGTTTCAAAGGAATTTTCTCTGTGTCTGAACCTTCCTTCTCTCCACCCTTATACTAGCTGGTGGTAGCCTCTGACAGAAGGACTTACTGACAATAATGAAAGAAAAGACCAAAATGAAAGAAAATCAAAATCAAGAATATTTGAAAGGTAAAATATCTTAGTACTTGAAATGAAAAATTATGATTAAATATACACATCCTTACTGGGTACTTATGCAATAAGCTCTATTACTGTTGTTGTTAAGTGCTGTCAAGTTGGTTCCGACTCATAGTGACCCTGTATAGGGTTTCCATGGAGCAGCTGGTAGGTTTGAACTGATGACCTTATGGCTCCCAGTCCAGTGCTGATCCTACAGCTCCACATCAGTAGTCCATATTAATTATAAGCTTTATAAAATATATTGTTTTTTTTTTTTTTAAATCTGGAAGGCTTGTGTATCATTTAATTAACTCCTTATGGTGATACATCCCAATATTGGCAACAATAGTTCATTGTGAAATAATAGAATGCAATGTGTTTTTGTCATGGTAAACCTTTTCCATTAGACCACATTTAAGCAAACTCCTAACCCCACATGACCTGAAAAATATGGCTCTATAGGATAAACACTGGACTGCAAACCACAAGATTGGCAGTTCGAGCTCACCAGCTGCTCCATGGAAAAAAGATGAGATGTTCTGCTCCCAAAAGATTCAGAGTCTCAGAAACTCTATACAGGGTCACTATGAATCAGAACCAACTCGATGACACTTAATAATAGCAACATTGAATTCTCACTCTGTCCCAGGCATTAGTCTATGCACTTTGTATATATTTTCCCATTTAAAAAATATATACACGTACATATAATAGCACTCCAAAGGTTTTATAAATAGAAGTAATAAGCCTATGTGTGTCAGAGAAGAACTGAACATCATAAGGTGTTTAATGCCTGACTTTTTGTATGTAGCTCCGCAGGCTCTTTTTCAGAGGCACTTCTAGATATAGACTCAAACATCTAATCATTCCATTTGCAATCAAACACATTGTAAAATAGCTTTTGTTTTCAATATATATTGCTGAAAACCAGAGTAAAGTTTAGATGTCTGACCTAATATATGAGGGGGGTGATCAGACCTTCTAAGTAGCTTATCTCCATGAGGGAGACTTTTCCAAGAATTTGAAAGATGGAAAGTTTCCAAGCTGGTGACCATCAGAGGGAAAGATTGCAAGATTATTTTAATCTAAAATATAGACAGCTGGGGACAAGATGAGATATTTGTGGGTAGAGAAAGAGAATTTTGTTTAAGAATGATATTGACCAGAAGTTTAATTATTTTGTAATGACATGATCTCAGTTTGGTATGAACGTAAAGCTATTTCATGAAATTTTTTGGGAAGGGTTTCCTCTTCAACAGTTTCTGAGAAAAGCATTGTAGAATTCATATGATTCTCCATTAATGTTTGGTTGTATTTATCTAGTAAATACTAGGTGTTTACTGCTAAATCTCTTGTGGAGAGTTTTCAGTTATGATTTTTCCAGTAGATATGAACCTACTCAGATTCTCTGTTTTATGTAATAAGATTTAAGTAGTTTGTATATTCCAAAAATGTGCCCATTTTGTCTAAGTTATCTAATTTATTAGAATAATTTTATAATCTCCCCTAACTATGTAACTGTCAATTTGTATCTTTTATTATTTCATTATTGATCTGTTTGGCTAAAGTTTGCAATTTCTATTGACCTTTAAAAAGAATCACCTCATTCCCTAATTTACATAAATTCTAAGGAGATGGGTGTAATACACAAAAATTAAAGAACTATGTTAATCACTCACTCTAAATGTGTGACAATCTAGGTCTAAAACTGAATGTCAAATTACAAAATTAAGTCCCAGAGGAATATTTATAATAGCATTCATGCAAATAAAAGAAAATCACAAATACATTATACATGAGCCTACATGGATATATATACATGTAAGATTTTTCATTGTTGCTTTTAGGTGCTGACTCATAGCGAGTTTATGCACAGCAGAACAAACTGCTGCCTAGCCCTGTGCCATCCTCACACTCATTACTAAGCTTTTTCAATAGACGTTAACATTTTTCAACTGACTTTATTTTGTAGAGTAGTTCTAGATTTATAGAAAATTTGTGCAGAGCATCGAGTTTCCATATGTTCCTTCTTCCCCCTGAAATTTCTACTATTAGTATTTTGCATTGATGTAGTACAGCTGTTAAAATTGAAGAATATATTGATACATTAT